CTCTGAATTGTCCATGCACCTATGTAAACATTGAGCATAAGGACACACACACACACACTCGCAGCACAGTGAGCAGAGTCATTAGACTGCAGAGACATTAAACTAACCCTGAGTGCATCTTTTAAAGAGATTCAAACACCATGCCTGCTATTGTTGAGACTATTAAAACATTTAAAATTAGATCTGTAATTATTGGACATGTAGTAAAACAAAAAGGAATCTTTGCATTAATCAACCTCCTCCCCCTCATTTCCAACAACATAAATCTTCTTAATCACCAACTCACCCCAGCTCTTCCCAGAGCGACCCATGAATTCCTTGGTCTCTGCATTCCACAGGTACGTCTTGATGGCTTCTATTTTCTGGTGGAGCGTCCTCTTGGGTAACGGCCTGCGCTTCCATTTCTCAAAGTTCAGGTCTTCCTGCTCTAGAGGCTTGTGCTCGGCCAACTCCTCCTGCTCTTCCTCCAGCTCTTGGCCATGTTTGAGTATCACTTTGTGAGGCTGGTGGAAAGAAGAAGGAGAGAAAAAGCCCTCACCACACATATTTCACAACTGCTAAGTTCTGCAGCCAACCTATTTTTTTTTCAAATCACTGCAGGAAAAAAATGGCATGCCTTCTGATCCGAGTATGACCGACGATATAACCTGCCAGAGAGTGCTCTGCATATTAATGAACTTCACACTGACCGTCCTGTCCCCTGTTTCTGCAAATTATAAACCCGCTGGTGACCCCTCTGGCTCTCGTTGGGAGATCTGACCTCCTCTGAGTGGACCCTCCTGCTTGGAGCAGCAGCTGCAGACAGCAGATCTGGAGGGTCACTCTGACAGCCAGATGTTACTCACTGACTCTCAGAATCCACAGGCCAGGACAGACAGATCCCAGAGGAACCACGGGACGCTTCAGAGAGTCACGGAAAAGTCACTTCATTCGTGAGAATTTGGCTTTTAAAATAATAAATTGTTATTTTTTGCTGCTATGCTTTGAATCTCGTGCCAATAAAACCACTTGATTAATGAGTTAATAATAACTTTGCTGTTATATTTTCTGTTAGATAAAACAACTTCAGTGCTAGTGGGAAAGTTTCCTTAATTACTGCATTCTGTGAATAAAGTGATTATTAATGTACACATTTTAAATGTTAATGAAAGCACTTACAAGACCTGGTGGATGATTTTTAAGGAGCGTATCTTCAGCTCCTCCCTCTGTGGAACTGGGCTCCATGTTCTTCAGGAGGAAAAAGCACTTGTTAAACCAATCACATCTCCAATACCCTTCACTTAGCGATACACCTTTACATCTGCGAACTTCCACAGTTCAACACTTGCAGAACTTTTCACCACACTCCCAAGTTATCTGACTTAATCTGCAATCAGACACAATTAATATGTATTTCAGTAGAAATGAAAATGTCGATAAAAAATTATTCAGACATACCTGAAGTTTTCTTGGCAAAAGCAACGCTTCTTAATACGTCGGAAGCCCTCCTCACCCCGAGAGAAAAAACAATGTTTGTCAAAAAGTAATTGGGGATTTCATTAGAAAGTTGTAGGCTTGCACAGGGGACCAGTTATGGAGAACCTCCTGCAACTAAGCGCGCATCGTAGTGAATGAACGCAGGATAGAGAAAACTGGGGGTGGGATACAAAGTGCTTTTTTTTGGACCTAGAGACGTTTTGGCAATGATCCGGGACACAGCATTGCATTCAGAACACGCACACCATCAGCCATTGTCTGCTAAGCTGGGCTAAACTGAAGCAAAGCCTGAATACAATATTTATGGCTTATTCTAACACAAGACACATGTTGTCAATCATGGCCTGGCTGCAAGGACTACTGTACCGATAACAATGACAGTTCACATGTTTATTAAGTTGTGTATTACAATTTTTTATTGAGGGGCTTTGAAAGAAGATAACCATAATGTGAATATCAGTGATCATGTCTTTGCATGCATGCATACTGACACAGTTGCAAACACCTGCAGCTCCATACTCTGCTGCAGAAACTGCTTACCATAAGCTCCCTCTGGGGAAGTTCAAGTTGTCCTCTTCCCTGATCATTTCTGCACGCTGGTCACGTAACATGCTGTTACCCCCATCTAAAAAAGTGAGAGGGGGGACTTTTTTTTCTTCCTCTTTAAATGAAAAGAGAAATTGCGTCATGGAAACAAACCTGTTCTTTGAGATTCGCGCGGCAAAACGTGCAAATGTTCATGTTCGTGTGTGTGTGTGTGTGTGTGTGTGTGTGTGTGTGTGTGTGTGTGTGTGTGTGTGTGTGTGTGTGTGTGTGTGTGTGTGTGTGTGTGTGTATGTGTGGTCTAGCATTACTATACTTGTGGGGACCTAAATCTGTTTACATAGTCACGTGTGGGGACTGGCTTCCCTTATGGGGACAAATTGGAGGTCCCCATGAGGGGAATCATTAATTTTAGGGTGAAGACTTGGTTAGGTTTAGGGTTAGGGTAAGGTTAAGGGTAAGGGTTAGGGTTAGGCATGTGTTGGTTATGGTTAAGGTTAGGATAAGTCTCCAGGAAATGCATGTAAGTCAATGCAATGTCCCCTGAAGTGATGTATACATGGTGTGTGTGTGTGTGTGTGTGTGTGTGTGTGTGTGTGTGTGTGTGTGTGTGTGTGTGTGTGTGTGTGTGTGTGTGTGTGTGTGTGTGTGTGTGTGTGTGTGTGTGTGTGTGTGTGTGTGTGTGTGTGTGTGTGTGTGTGTGCGCATTTACAGTGAAGGCCAATGATTCATCTCAACCAAATAAGGACATTTGCTGAGAAGCAAAAGTCCCCAAAACATTTAGCAGGGAAAGCCTGGAACGACTACATTTCATGCATCGGTCCATGCAGAGGAATTATCTTATTCTTCTAGTTGTTGTATGCCATTTAAAGTGTCTTGAATTATATATGACATGCATTGTCCCTTAAAGAATTATACGCATTTGTGCAGGGCGAGCTCCATGGGTTAACCTGCTAGAGGGCCCCAGGAATGAATGAGATGCTGGCCTAATGGTCGGCCTGAAAACCCCCACAACTTTCTGTTGCCTCTGAACAAACTTCTCCCTCAAACAAAGCATTTTAAAATAATTCTAAACTATTTAAGAATTGTATATAAACTTTTTGAATTAACATTTTACCTTTACCTTTCTTGATTTACTGTGTTTCATCAAGTCTTTGCCTGCATGTTTGGCAAGTAAAGCTTTGATGATTATGATGTTGAAAAGTATTCCTGCCATATGAATTACATTTGTGCATGTTAAGCAAAATGACATTGTGTATGTTTGCATTTGTATTTTAATGACATTTAAAATCAGGCAACTGCGTGTACTACAGCAGCAGAATGAGGACAGTGAAATGGGCAATGTCAATTTCAAAGTGTTTACTTATCCCAAAAAAGTGACTGTGCTGCTTTATCTAGATTTTAGAACAATATAATGTGCCCATGTATTTCCTTGAAACTAACAATAAATCATATTTGATATAGAAATTATTATTTTATGTTAGATTCCCAAAATGAAGCCCTTAAGGTGGTTTGAAACCCTTTTGAATTGATAGCTAAAAGTCAAATTCTCCTAAATGCATTGAGAAGCAACAGCCTTTTCCATGTTACATTTCAACAAAGGTAATGAAGAAAGAGCACAGAGGCAGAGAATGATTAAAGAGCTCACTAATCTAATTAATCTGCTAGTGTTAATGTAATTATGTATGGTTTCATGATTATTTTATTATTTTCAAACACTAATAAGACGTACCTGAAAGCAGCATACAGTCACTTTAGATGATGAATGTGCTGCTCCCTGAATGTCTCTTTGCTCTTGGCTGCTATCTCTTAGTTAGACTATTTAACTACCTCAACAAAATATGTAATAATTGTGCAATTTGGACTTGCTATCTGGCTGCTATCACACTATTTTAAACATGTTACACTTGTTTTTTCAAAAAAATACTTTTACTGGTACTATTGTAAATTGTAATTTGTGTACTTCCTATCTTTAATATTATATGCATGCATCTTATTTAATATGTTGTCTTTATACTTTTGCTGTAACAATGTAAATGTCCCTTCTATGGGACTAATGAAGGTATTCTGATTATCTTGATCACAATGTAGTATTTCTGCCAGACGATGGCGCTAGAGGCTCAGCCTGAGCTCCAACTTTTACTTTCTCACACACCATTACAGGAACTCCAAATATATGTGGTACACACACAGCAGTATGGAATAATTTAAACACACTCCAAATGATTTATTTGACGTGTGATGTAAAGAATGCTGTCACGTCGAATTCACCCCTGCTGTCAGTGATTTACCGTCTGGTGGTGACCATTCATGTTATTAAAGGGAAGTACTCAGATCTTGTTCTTAAGTAAAAGTAGAAGTACCAGAGTAGGAATACTATGTTACAAGTAAACGTCCTGCAATCAAAATGTTACACAAGCAAAAGTACAAAAGTATTGTCATCTAATTATACGTAAAGTACCAAAAGTAGAAGTAGCCTACTCATTATGCAGATTGGTCCATTTCAGAATAATATATGATATGTTCTGTTTATAATTAGGCCTATTAATGCATTATTATTATTATTATTATTATTATTATTATTATTATTATTATTATTATTAATCAAGCTGTCCAAGTTTTAATTAATTTATACTGCAGAGTTGCTGGTGAATGTTACTCCAGGTGTAACTAAAGTATTATTTAAGTGTTGATCATATTTCATATGAGCTACTAATCCACTAAAGTATCTCAGAATTGTACTGATATATGATATAAATTATTCTGAATATATGATGTAAATTATTCTGAATCTGAGTAATGAGTAGGCTACTTTTACTATTTGTACTTAAAGTATATTTTGATGCTATTACTTTTCTACTTGAGTAAAATTGTGATTACAGTACTACTTTTACTTGTACCAGAGTACGACTACACTCTGGTAGGCCTACTTCAAGTAACGCCAGTGAGGTATTTTCCTTCTGTAGAGAGTGGGGTATGTGTGTGTGACATGCGCACACACAGCCAGCAGCAGCAGAGACCCACCGTCAGGACACCGACTCACCGAGAGCATAGAGACCGACAGACGCCTCTCATCGGCGGGGATGTGACAGAGAGAGGCTCGGAGGAGACGGAGGGTTGACACCCATGGTTGACACAGAGAATGCCACAGCAAGCCAACACGCTGCCTGCGTTAGCTCACCATTGTACTCAGCTTGCTGTAAAATATAAAGCGAGCAGCAGTGAGTCGTGATTGTCTTCTTTTTTTTTTGCAAGGGGATCATCCTGCGTTAAACATCCTCCAGCCAGCATGCCTTCTGCTCAGAGCCTCCAGTCCAGCAGCATGCCCCTCTCTGAAACCAGCATAGGTAGGTAGGTGTGTGTGCAAGGTCAGCCGCAGCAGGTTTTATCAATTAAATAATACACTCGGTAATGCCACAATGCGGAGGTTTCACTCAATGCTGAAAGGTTCACTTAATTGTGCCTACACACTTTTTAGACCACCCTTATTTGTTGTGTTTTCTTGATAAGAAACACTAAAGGCATGTTTTCATTTTCACAGAACACTCGTTGCATCACCAGTCTGTTGTTTTTTAAGTCCAGGCCGCAGCACGTCACTGCAGGTGCGGCGACGTTGAGTAACCACAGGAGCCGGTTTTTAATGGTGTAAAATGGTCTAGTTGTGTAGAGGAGAATCCCATTTTAAACATTTCTATTGCAGTCCATGGCAGGTGATCATTGACTACGTAGAATATCGTTGATTGCTTGGGTCAGTCTACTACACAGCTAATGGCAGCAACATCCATGTTTTGCTTTTGCAGCCTATGGAAAACCATTTCAGTCAATGTTATCAAAATATAAGTCTTTATATTGAGCAACCTTCTTTAAAGTATCTCAAATTAATGACTTAGTTTCTCAAAATAATGACTTGGTATTGCAAAAAAAGGATCAGATAGGTTTCTAAAATAACGTGTTTGAAATAATAATTACACACTTGTTATATTGAGAACGTTTCTTATTATATTGAGATCCATCACATTATTTTAAGGTCTTACAAGATCTTGTTTCTTCACAGAAAGCTATGTTTTTCTATTTCTTAATTTACTGGCAGAAAATGGCTCCCGTATAACACTTCCTTGTACAACAATTATTGAGAAAGGTATGTAGTAATTTGCATTACTGTACTGGAGAGACATAGATGTGTTGGTGGTGTAATAATATTGAACAGCTAATTTCACACAGACCATATGAAATATGTTGCATGGGGTGTTTTCCAAAGATCTACTATAATAAAATGATTTGAGTAATTTATCAAACAGAAGATATCCTACTTCCATGAGTAGTATTTGCTTCAAATCATAACTTGGTACCAGACACTGTAATTGTATGTTGAGGCCTCTGGTCTCAGTTAGAACTCCTAAAGTAATAAGCAAATGCATGCTCTTGAGTAAGAGCCAGATCAATAATGTTTTTGTTTCAAACTAATATTGACTATCAGATAGTATATGAAGTTTCAAAGTGGTTTCATTACATATGACATTTGACTTCAAAGCAAGGTTTGGATGATGTGGAAAGAAATGTGATATCATGGAAACACATGAACACAATTTAATTTCACTAATGCAAAACAGCCCAATGGGTTCTTTCAATTAACTGTAATCTAGCATTTGAGAGCAGGAAATGAACCGTGCAGTAGGAAATAGTATTTACATTATAATTGTTATTGTCATTTAAATCCCAGCCTGGCAAAATCATCCATACATTTCTAGATCATTACATTCCGGAAGTTGTTGATATGCTGGCACCGTGGGGAGAAAAACCTGACTGAAACCATTCGCTTTCCCTGCACAGTGATTTTAGTTCAACAGGAAGTGATGAAAATACATGCAATAGATAATCAGTGGGACCTTACTCTACAGAATCTGCTGAAACAAATGCATCAGTAAAGTCATTAAAAAGACGGCAATGAGGGGCCACTCCCTTCCCCCTCTCTTCAGTTTGTAATGTTTGACTCTGACTTGAATATTGTCAGAGATGATATCCTGCAGCTCTCTGAGGAAATAACATTATACAGGAGCTTGAGGTTCAGTGGTTTTAAAAGAAGTACATTTGTCGAGGCTTATCAACCCTTGAATGGTTGTCTTTGTAGTTTAATATGCATATTCAATATGTTGTGGTTCTTTTACTTCTGTCTTGCAAACCTCTCACACTGGGTATAGTATTTGATATTTGTTTGATGCTTTTTTGTTGGATTTGAAACCGTTCTTATTTAAATGAGGCCCCTAAAAGTATTCACTCTTATTTTGACTTTCCAAAAAACTGACTTAATACGAGCACATGTAACAAAGGTTGTCAAACAGCAAGACTTAAGTCAGTTATTTTGGTAGATGATTATCATCTCAATGGTGTAAGGACATTTCTAGTTAAGGTTCAGGTATTTTGTTTAATTAATTAATTAATTTAGTTCATCACAGGCATCTTTATGCCTCTGCATTTTTACCGGGCTTCATTATGGAAGTTTCTTTCCCTTGTGTGTGTGTGAATATCTGCGAGACACTGATTACAATAAATTGCTAATGTTAAATAATAAAGTAAGTGTTTTCACATGATGCAGATTTGTTTAGTCTTTCCCTAAAAGATATACATAGTGTATACATTTGCCTTTTTGCAAATACGCAGCATACACCAAGATGCCCTTCCCTATTATGCTAATTTCCAGGTTCAAATGTGTATTGTGTGCCTCTACTGTGACATGTCTCCATGCTTTAATGTTCAAAAAGCTCTTTATTTTTCTCGTACTGCCTGTGCTGCAGCACCTCTTTTCACCCTCTGTCTGAAACCAGAGCCCAGTCTGCTATGATTGGTTGGCTGGCCGGCTCTGTTGTGATTGGTCAACAGCTTAGAGATGTTCCCGCCCCTTAGCCTATCACGTACAATGTGATGGAGAGCTAGCCAATAGAAATGCAAGTGTTACAAAGTGATGTCACTATGTTATGGAAGTAAACAAAGGAGTATAATGAGGCGTTTCAGGCAGGGAGGAAACATTGGGGTTTTAGCCTTTGCAGACCATTTACATGCTAAAAAAACCTATAAAATACACTAGAGGAAAAGGGAAACCCCCAAAAAGCACAATATAGGGCCTCTTTAACAGAATTACGACTATAGTCTTGAACTACTTTCTATTGCAGCTTGATTTATGCATTTCTCATCTCTTCACGGTTCACATCACAGCAGTAATGTTTGCTAATGTGTCGTCTTTAGGTACCTTTAAGAGGAGGAAGAGGAAATCCATAATAGTGACGGTGTTGCTGCTCATTGTGTCTGTGCTCATCCTCATCTTCGGCCTGGCAGCGACCACTAGGACGCAGAACATCACAGTGGGCGGCTACTACCCAGGAGTCATAGTGAGTACACACCTGAATGCAACAGCAGCCTGTCTCCAGTGATACTGAGCGAGGTGTGAGAGAAAAGAGGGAGTTTTCAGACTGCTCTTCCCGCTCGTGATGAACCTAATCACTGAAGGTCTGTGATGGGTGACTCTGCCGACATTCATTATTCAGCACTGTCATTACGCACTAAGTGAAGCAAAGCATCTCAGTCCATAAATGTGTTTTCCTCACAGAACTCGGCTTTTAGCGTTGGGCCTAAAGTGAAGAGCAATCAGGGAAGCAGCCTGCTACATTTCTAATGATGCTCCTTCTGACTTCAACCTAAAATTCATAGTTTCAATTATTGACGTCTGCTGTAAAAAGCAGAGATTTAAAAAACATGCATTCTGTTTATCTCTGAGACGATTTTCTTTTTAATTTCTGAAATGTTATCCATGGCATGAAAGAAACACCTACTTAGTTTATCTCACTAGGCTACAGAATCAAAGCTTTATATTAAAATCTGATAAATGTTGGGGGGGGTAAATCACGAGTTCTATCAGGATATTTTCTAACATGAGTCTGCAAAAAACGATTTTGATTCAGGAGCCTGTGATCGCTATGAGGCAATATCACATGCCCTTTAAACATTAACAGTTACTTTCGTATCAACTCGCAAACTTAAATACGATTTTACAATTTTATTTCTGGACTCAACAATCTATTCTTTAAAAGAAAAACAATAGACTGCCTGTAGTTCACTGTAGAGGGCTACTGTTTCTCTCTTGTGTTTCTTTATCAGTTCAAAGAACACATGTTTAAAATCTTTACACATCCATTTTCCTTTAAAAAAAATAAATAAATCAAGGATTACTCCAGACAGCTTCAAGATAAATGGCTATATTACAATGATGTGTTTTTGAATGGTTATTTAAAACTGTCCACTACTCAAGTGGATATCCCCAAATGTTTTTGTAGTGACCTCAGGGACAATTACAAGAGCAGCTGTGGAGGATCTGAGGGTTTCTGGAGGATCATAAAACGATAGGGAGCCTGGGAGATAAAAGGGGGAAAAGCCATTTAGTGTCCTAATAAACTAAGAAATGGACTAAAATAAATTCTAAAAGACACAGGGGGCCAGAGTGGGTTGTCCGAAAGTTTAGAGGTATAGATCTCTCATTTGAGATAAACACCACTCTCAGATCTGGAAGAAACTGGTCGGATGGATTCAGGTGCAGTTGAACGAGGTTAATCAATACGCAAACAAGTACTCAGTATAAGTCAACAATACAAACCCTGACTGTGTTTGTGGTCTTTCTTTATTGCCCCATATTTCTATTCTTATCCTATATATTCATATGGTATATATTGGTCTCATGGGTACAGTGATATGTTCCTCCTATCATCTTACAGTTTGTTTTGGTGTTAGGGTCACAGGGACATTTTCCTACAGTTCATTTTGATTCAGCAGTGTTTGTTGTTGTGTAACATTGCTCAATACCCTTGACAGCTGCTACTATTACAGTGATACTTTTGTTATTCTACTACATTGATTTTGTTAAAAACTCGGCATCAGCCTAATGAAGGTTTGTAGTTTTGCAATGACTGTTGTTGTTCGGCCAGTATAAAGAGTGTTACAGTGTTACATAGTGTAACATGTAAGTGTGCTTAGTGGAGGGCTCAGCTTCAATATGTTGCGCAAATGATAACAGTAGTTTGGGTCAATGAATTCAATTGAGCTTTTCGTATTTATTTTAGAAAAATATGGAACAAGCACCCTTCAAACATTAAACTTGCGGACTTAGAAATCAGGGCTTATCTTAAATATGATGATGTATAGCTTTATTTACTTGATGAATGAATGATTTTGGATTGTTGTTTATTGTATCTACATATATATCTGTATAAATCCAGATCGATTGATCAATAAACTTCGCTTTTTTCACTGTTTTTCAGCTGGGCTTTGGCTCTTTTCTGGGAATCATCGGCGCTCATTTGATAGACAACAAGAGGCAGATGGTAAGAGGATTTATATGACCTTTTCCTTGTCTGGACTGTTACAGAAAACTATCATTAACCTGCGTCTCAGTCCCAATTACCCAACGACCTGATTATGTTGTTATTGGGATGACAGACAGAGAGGCTGTGAGTCCCTCTTGGCCTGAGGCGGCTTGCGTAGCGGAGCCTGGGCTTCAAGGGAGATGCAGACAGAAATAGCTACAGGGTGTAAGCTGAGGAGGACAGATGCCCACACAGGAATGTGGTGAAGGAAACTGCAGATGAGGGGAGCAGGTGGGAGGTGTGGGGTGGGGACTGTCAGGGCTCAAATGAATGATGAGTTTGTACCGCGACACTTTTACCGTAACGCAGCAGAGTTCAGATGGCTGTAGTCCCACAACTGACCCGGCTACGACACCTTACACCACACTGCCCACTGGTTATTCCTTATCGCATGTTACTATACATAATATAATGTCATGTGTTGAAATAGTTTATGGGTCGGGGTAGTATAGCCAATTTGTTTTTAGATGATTCCAGTTGTTGCAGAGCTAAAATGTTGAGTAAGTAAAACTATTTTGGTAATCTATTTATAATTTTTTAAGGACAAATCCCAGACATTCACTGCTCACAGCCTCTCAAGTGTCAATATGTACTGGTTTTCTTCATTTGTTATCATAGTCAAATGAAATACTTTTTGACTGTTGTATATAACACTCTCTGATGAATAGTATACTGATGGACATTTATCTGTATTTTAGGTATAAAATTAAACATTATAGTAAGGTAAGGTTAAATGATTCAAAACATCTATAGGGAGGATTGCTTTATCATCCCGGGTGAGTTAGATTTGATCAAATGTAACTAACTTTAATTCAAATGTTGCTAAATGCCTGATGCCTCATTACCGCTTGAATTCAATCCAGTAAGAAAAGCACAGAACAAAATAACAGAAATTCTTTCAATTAAAAAGGCTAAAACTATTCTGACTGACTAAAAAAGTGTGTTCATGAATGACAAGATAGAGGGAGAAGTTAAGAAAAAAAACACCCACAAACCTTTTTTCCATCACAAATGTCTCTTTCTAAATCATTTGCCGCTGAATGCATTCATATGAGCGTCACAGAAACCTTGGTGCCGGCGAACAACCCGGTTACCTCGAGTTGTTGGATGTTTTGTGTCAGCTTCAGAGAGGGTGGGCTAATGTGTAAGTGAATACATACCGCTTTCATTGAGGAGTGAAAGGAGAGAGTTAGGCGGATGGGGAGAAAGGGGGGAAATAAGTGTTTGGAGTTCCTTTTAAGAGCCGGGCAGCGTGCCAGGCTCTAACACTACTGCTGCAGCTAGGTGACCAGCTCAGCACTCCGTCACTGTTGTTCTCTCTAACAGCCCCCCCACCCCATCCCATTCAGAGCTATTCATACTCAGAGAGCAGCACATGGGCAATATGATACAGGTTACTGTTGGAAGGGAATCCGATACAAAAGTGGTGAGTGGAAGCAATTACAAAATCAAAGTGGTGCCTCCAACGAAAAAGTGGTGCCTCCAACGAAAAAGACAAAAAGACATTTCCAAATATTTCAATAACTGTTCATTTGGTTGAGTCATTGTTCATGTAAAAAGGGTGGTAATGCTGCTTTGAGCTTCTTATAAATGGAGATGTTCATCTTTTCTCTATTATATCTTATTGGCCTGCATAACTTTTGAGTTTTGAAATGACTAAACGAAACATTTCAAGACATCACATTGTTTTCTGACATTTTCATGACCTAACAATATCAATAGCCGCAGTGCCTAAAATGGAGTTTATAGTCTTCTGTGACAAAGAGAATCATAACCGTGTGATGAAGAGTGATGAAGAGCTGCTGTTTTCTTCCACAGTTAGTGGCGTCTATTGTCTTCATCAGTTTCGGGGTAGTGGCCGCCTTCTGCTGTGCTATTGTTGACGGAGTGTTTGCTGCCAGGCACATTGTAAGTATCACTGAAGCTTCTTCTTATTTAACTAAACTGATAAATTATGAATATGGATAACACTCACTGTCCGACTAATCAATGCCATCCCCATTGAAGCTTAATATACTCTGTCTGCATTACACATAGATTAAAACGAGGGCATTGCTCACATATGGCCGTCTGTAGAAGAGGCTGCACCCTTCTCAGCAAGGGAAATGTATTTTGTGGTTCAGAGATATTACTCTCCATGACGCAAGAACTCGAAACAATAAATAACCACTAATGCACTCTTGAAACAATTATGTTAAAATAAGTTATGGCTTTTCGAATAGGGGGATCAGCAGTTTTTTTATTCGCCAGTGACGTCAGTGAAATGGAAAATTGGATATTTATTTTCAGACATTTGTTTGTAAACTGAGCTGCAAAGAGGCCCAGTGTTGCAATGCATATGATGTGATGCTCTCAGAGGAATACATTCAGATTTTTTTCTCTCTATTTGTTGCATTTATCGACATTGTTGATTTTGCTTTAGTATGCGTTTGTATCAGACTGTATATAGGGTTTGTAGCAGTGATGCATTGTGCAGTGAAATCTAAAGAATATTGTTTGTTGTACTACAGGACCTCAGGCCGCTGTACGCCGGCCGCTGTGAGTTTCACTCCAGTGAGACTTCCTCTGAACGAGACGTAAGACAAATATTTCACTTTCTATTTACAGAAATCGAATGCATACTCAGTGTGTGTGTGTGGGGAATGAAGTGTCATAAGTCAACCTTAAGTGAAAAGACTAATCATTTGAATTAACTTTTGACCCTCAGGTACCCTGTCAGACCTCCTCGCGCTCCCCCTGTAACCTGCATGTGAAGGGTAACACCTGTTACTGCTGCGACCTCTACAACTGCGGGAAGTGAGTACACCCAACAGCCTCTCCATCACTGGTTCCTCACTTTGCTGTGTTGCTTTGACTGTTTGGATTTTTGAAGTGTGCTGATGTGCCATTTTTGTGGGAGATTCTTTTGCACTGCAACGTTGATTGTATCAGAACAAGTATATGTTTCTTCCCTTTTAACCTTTGTTTCAGAGAACATCCTCTTATGGGACTTCAGAATAAAGATGTATTGAAAAAGTTTAGGAAATCATCCATGATTTGGAAGTAGGTCCCTTTTTTTCTAGAACCATATTGGCCATTAATGATCAACTCATGTTTTTCATTTTCTCGACACGTGATTGGAGTAACTGTGTTGTGTGTCAGTGACATGACTTATGTAATATGTGTTTAGGATCCCATTTCCCCTGCATGTTATGTTTTGCGTCTGACAAAGCTAAGCATGAAACCATATAAACATTTGTAAATGATTATTGTTGTCAAAATATATGCTTTTCACAAAATGATCATACTCTTATTACATTGAGTAAGGAAGCATATATTATTATTGCATCACAGATAGAATAACTTGTTAAGTGAATATCTGTTTTAGTAAAAAACGAATTAAGAATAAAGGAATCGTAAGGTTTCTTTGCATGAATAAACAGCAACATTATTAGTCTATTCCTTTTTACATACTGTATTTCCTGTTTTATAAATCATGAGAATAATCACAACTATCTCAATATTAAAATCCATTACAGTCAGCATAATGTGAGGGTTTTTTATTACGATAATGATCAAACCATATATCTTCCCACTCTTAAACACCCACCATGTCTTCTGTCCTTAGCTCTCATAGACTCATTTGTTTCTATAAATCAAAACCTACTGTTTGTCTTTCATCTTGCCCTGAACACAACACTTTCTCTGTGACTTGTGTGGCTTGACTGTATGCCCCCTCTCTGTTCCGCCCACTGGGCTAGCCGAGTGGAGCTCATTGGAGGCTACCATGAGTACACGGATGTGAAGAGCTGCCAGGACGTGGTGCACCTCTATCACCTGCTGTGGTCCGCTACGATCCTCAACATCGTGGCGCTCTTTCTGGGCATCATCACTGCTGCAGTGCTGGGAGGCTTCAAAGACATGGTGGGTACATGTGTTGCATTCATGTGGTGTCAGAATAATTGGAAAATGTGTCACAGACTGTGAAAATGCACATGAAAGCCCCCTTCAAAAAGTTATTAAGAATTCTCTTATTGCACCGCATATTAAATTGTTTGCTCATATGTAATTCGGAATATGGTTTTAGATTGCAGCGGTCTGTTGCTGTCCAAGTATCTACATGTAATGTGAAGCAACAGTTTAATGATTTTAGGGAATGTACTGGTGCAGCAACAAGTCTGAGACAAAAAACAAAACATGTTCTTCCACATTAAAACTAAAAGCTCATAAACACACGAACGTCGGTAGAACAACTCTGAGAAACCAGACCATCCAAGGTGCACATTGAATGCAGCATTATATTTGAGATTTGACCATGAACAACTGGGCTAAAATTCTGCTTAAGTGTTTGTTCTAATGGGTTTTTGTTTTGTAATCCTCTGGTGTTTGAATTAATGGAAACTGATCAATACTCTTCATGTCCTTGTCAGACTCCGGCTCCTGCCTCAGAGTCTACATCTGAGCCTGAAGCCGTCACAGCTCCAGCCCCCCCTCAGCCTCCTCCCCCCAACACCTCCCTCGCCTCGTACTACAACACTGCCCCCTGCCTGCCGCCGTACACCGCCTACGACCTGCAGGTACAGCTACAGACCTGCACTGCTGGTCTTCATCAACATGGGGGGGGGGTCCAGTGGTCCTGTAACACTGTGCTTTGGCCCCCCTGTGGCCCCCCTGCAAAATAACAAATCTATGATAATGAAATTTGTAATAGTGTTGCAACCCGGGCCTAAGAAAAAGGAAGGTTTTATTTGTTATGTAATTAAATAAATTAAAACTAAGTTACTGAAACTAATTCTGTTACTAAAACAAATACCAACAAAGAAATAAAATAAAAAGTGTTTATTACCCCAACTGCATTAGTGACAATGGTAAATTAAGTAACTAAACAAAAATTGCAACTCAGTCATTGACACCAATTATGTAATTAAAACAAAAAACAATAATACTTCCTTTGTGCGCTATAACTTTATACTACTTGTTTAAATCATGACCACTGTCTTTGTCTCCCTTGTCCAGCATTACATTTGCCTCTCTCATTCAATAACTGGCCCCAGCAGAGCCCCCCCCCCCAACCCTGTCAAACTTCAGTTTTTTAAATAAGGAAACCTACAAACAACCGTTATTCTGTGCATCCTTAAAAAAACCTAAAAAAAGAGCTTTGAATGTAAAAATGGAAACTGAAACAGGTAATTCTAATAAATGTCCTTCCTGCAGGGCTCCTACCTGTTCCCCGACTCCTCCACCCTGTCGGATGACTCCCAGTCGGGGGCCAGCCACCTGTGGCCCACCATGGTCCCTCCACGATACTCTCCTCCTCACACCCACCCCGACGAGAAGCCTCCACCCTACAGCCCGTAACACACATCCAGCAGAAAGAAGGCACCTGGAACATTAGCGGGTGTTTTTCAGATGCTGATTGAGTGGCGTGAATGCACATTTCCTCTGGGCTTTTCCTCACAATGAGTGTTGGAGGAAAGGTGGTGAGGAAGAGGAGGAAGGCCACAGAGAGGGAACTCACCTTGAGTTCAGCCCGACACCAGGAGTGTTTGTCGCCACTGCCTCCACTCACACATCAAGAGAGAGACCACCAGTCCACAGCAAGGACTGTTTACACATCTATCTGCCTTAATGCAAACGGGCTTCCAGCGCTGCAGCTCTGGGTCTCTGGACTTATTCTGTACTAGGTCAAAGTTCACCTCTCTTCAGGACATATTGTAAATGCTTCCTGCCTCAAGTGGCACCAATGATAACGTGAGGAGATGACAGCTACAAGATCAAACCCGATACATGAATGCTTTTGATGTCCCCCCAGAATATGAATCAGCTAGAGAATTCAAAACTGTAGTAGGCCGAGGCAGTTTCTTCTTTAGCGATTAATTAGGCAATGTTAGCAGTAATGAAGGAATTACAATGCTCATAATGAATGTACAGCAGTATAATACTCAGATGCTCTCCAGCAGGTTAGCTATACAAACAGATGATCAGTTTGTTAAAAAAAATACCTTGAACCATGTGCTCGCAGAGCAACAAGATGAAAGAAATAAGCTATTCTGCAGTAGGGCGGTCACAGTTACACTCCAAACTATTTATTCTATTTTCACTATATGCTGCAAAGCAGGTAAGCGTATATTATCTTGCGCTATATAAGTAGTTGTGATATCACATCTGGGTTCAAATGTGTAGTCTCTGTCAGGAATAAACACGAGGCAGGCCGAGCGGGAACAGTCGGTGCTGGATTCACTGACATGAGGGGAGATCATGAAGGGTCAAAGGACTGGTGTTCTCTGAGGAAGAGTGAAGGACAGTAAACTTAGTCCATGTCAATGAGACAGGTCTCCGTCAGCTGTTATCACTGCTTTGTATAATTTAAAATACTCTCTCAGGGGCTGATTGTCAGTTCCTTTTCGTCTTGCCAGTAAAAATGTTTTATGTCATTCAAATGGTGTATTTGACTTTTTAGCTAAACTGTATGCACGGTTGCTTCACCACTTTAGTCTTTACCAAACATATCAACTTCAATAAGATAAACCATAGTGCAGTGAGTGCACCGAGGGTGAATCCTGTTGACTTTAGTCATCCCAACTTTCCTCTTGTGTAACCATGATGTTTGATGGTTTGCCATGACAACTTGATGCAGCCATTAATGTCATTTTCTAATCTTAAAACTTTTGATAAATTGGTGATAGTTCAGCTTTTCACATATCACCATCAAGTTGATTTTTTCTTTGCAAACCTTGTTTTATGACCAAATGCCTGACGCCTATTGTATGCGCTAACAGCCATTGATAGCATGCTAAATGATGGATGTTTGTTAAGGAAACTTAAAACCTGAAACTTCTCTAGATAATTGTATTACATTGTAAAATTGAAAAGGGTGTAACTAGCATTAGGTTTGAGAAGTTCATACTTTTTCAACAGGGACTAGTCAAGGTTTGGGAAAGTCCATCCATGTCCTTAAGTCCAACACATTGAAAATCTAAAAATGTTTTCAATCTTTGATATAATCCGGACAATGGAAGATTTTGAAACATTTAAAAACACAGGGAGTTGACATTAATAATAAAGAAGGAATATTTAAGATTCTGCACTATTTCTCCTTGAGCATTTGCTCTTAACTCTTCCAACATCTTCTGGAGCTTCAATAGATGTTTTTGTTTCATGTGTGACACATGATATATTTTACTCTCAGCATTAAGGCAAAGTGACAGTTTGTATGATTTTCATTTCGTACATCACAATGACAACCGTATAGCAGATGTTTGTATGCTTACGTAGTGCAAGACAATTAAGTGAAAATAGTAAAATAATTTATTTATCATCAGGAAACCCCTTGTTGCTAATTGACATAAAAGGGACATTTTGTACAATGCCAACATAACTGATTATTTAATATCTATTTCATTTTATCTACAACTATGAACCTAAAAGATACGTCTGAGACAGTATTTAAAAATGAAAGAAAAAGACATGAACACAAATGCACTGTACATCAAATGCCAATGTTAATGTGTTAATTAAAAGTCCTGCATGATTTTATTGAATGACATGAATATAGATTTCATTGTTAGCACTACTCATACCGATTACTACATTTGGACACAATGGGAAAAAAAGTTAAAAAGTCCAAATGTGAAAAAGAAATCTGCCTGATGCAACACTAAGTGCTTTATGTCTGGATTAAATAATATCAACCACATTTGTTTGCAAAATCTGTCGCCTACGCGGTGTAGACGGCAGATATTAGCATAAAAAAAACAAGGAAGGACAGGAATTGCAAATCAAAATGTACAGGTGTATCACAATAAAACAGGTGTTCAATGGAAATGTCCAAATTGCGTTTAAATGATCATTGTATAACTTCCCTGCCACAATATCCACGAGTGGGATTGCCAACAATCACAATGAAAAAAAAAAATTCAGATCATAATTATCATTTCTCTTTGCATGATTCCCATATTGGAATAAGGAGTGATGTTAAATGTCCATTTCAAACTCATGGTCAATGCATCAGTTGATGAGGGTTTTAAAATTTTAGCAGCCTTGTTTTATTTCATTACGGGTCATATCCTGTATTTTACAAAAATGTGTTGAAACCGCTAAAGAGCATTATGTTGGGGTGTAACGGTATTCGTCCCATCACGGTTCGGCACACGACGAATACGCCTTTTTTTACGAGTGGGAAAAAGGTCTGTCATTCAGGGCAGTATCCATTACACTATTTATAATCCAGGGGGCGGTATTGCGCCTAAAAGCTGTTTGCCAGCCGCCCTTAAACAACAAAATGAAGAACAAGAAGAAAACACAACAAAACGAACAAAATACAAGAAGAAAAGTTAGTATGGCGATTTCAGATAACACACAGGAGCTAGAACCCACCTGCTTCTTTTAAATCAGCTGTGTGGGAACATTTCGGGTTCCCTGTGGACTACAACAACGATGGAGTGCGAGTGGTGGCTCGGACGAGGACGGTGTGTCGGCGTTGTTAGACAGCGGTGCGGTATGCTGGAGACCACACGCCAAACATGCTAAATCATATCAGAATGCATCACCCAGATTTGCCAATCACTGGTATATGTGCTCTTGAAACACTTTCTTATTATTTATGATGTAATATTTTCAAGACATTCTTTTTAGTTTTACAGCTTATTGAACCTTTTTGTTTGACATCAGCCATTATATAATCTGGGCATCTGAGTGTGTGTGGTACTGTTTGTTTTTAACAGTGTAATACAGTTAATTATTCAACATGCGTTTGCTTTTTCTTGTTGTACCGAACCCGTACCGAACCGTGACCCCCGAACCGAGGTACGTACCGAACCGTGACTTCTGTGAACCGTTACACCCCTATAATATGCATCCTTTGAAAATCCCGGTTACACACTACATGATTTAGGTTTCATATATTTAAATAGGTAAAACAGAATTTATATTTTATGAAATGGAGCTCAGTGGGGTTGGAATGTCAGAAACTGATCTAGAATAGTATGACCCAAAGGTTAAAAAAAATATCACTGTAATAAGAGAATGCTTTTATTGCAGCTAGTGTGTGATGCCTTCATTTCTGGGGCAACTTTTGAGTCCTGCATGAAAATGTTAGCATCCATATAAACTATTGTCGTTGTGATTTTACTGCGTGCGAACCACTATCATTATTTGTAATGATAAAAAAAGACAGATTAAAAAGGCAGAGAAACAGGAGTAAAGATTTGGTCACATTGCGTTTCCTTCCTAAAACTACTCGCTTTGTCTCCTTTTCACTTCAACAAGGAGGGACAAATTCAAGAAATCTCCAGCTGGCTCTGGCAGAAGCACATTATTCTAACATGTATTAGCATCATTAGTACTATATTTAACCACACAATTAATTGAAAGGCTAATGTGACCGTAGATTATTCCGATACTATTGAGAATTACAGATTAATATTGTTGACCTGGAAAAAGGTTATGGGGTACCCTTTAAAAAGGCACATGTAATGGAGCAGCGGGGGTTGCTCAGTAGCTCTCTGGTATAACAAAGTCAAACTCCGTGGCTCCCGGTGGAGGAGAGTTTGCGGCTGAGCCCTGGCGGGCGTGAGCATCGGGCGGCATGCGAGTGTCGGGTTCGATAAAGATGTCGTCCCAGTTCAACATCCTGGTCTGAGTGGAGGAGTGCACGTCCTCACTGGTGATGTGATGCACGCTGCCGTCCTCCGATATAACCGGGACTCCTTCCTGGCCGTTGTTACTCCACGAGTACGACTTCATCTGCACCGTCTTACACGGCAGGAGGCGGTACAAGTTGTTGTCCGTCTCGTCTTTCTCCTTCCTGCCACTGGGATCCTGGTTGTGCGCATGCTTGCAGTGTGTGGACAGTAACTGGTAGTTCACGAACATGTCGTTGCACATCAGGCACTGGTACCTGCGCTCTCCTGTGTGGTGGATTTCATGTTTAGTTCTGTACTCGGCCAGTGCAAACACCTTGTTGCAGAAGTGGCACGGGTACTTCTTTTCCCACGAGTGAGTGTTGAAGTGACGGCGCAGACTCGCCAGACACACGTAGGGCCGCTTGCAGACGATGCAGACGAAAAAAGTCTTCCCGTCCATGATCAGCTCGTAGTGATCCTCCAGCTCTGTCTTGCACTTCTTCTTGTTGGAGCCGGACTTTGGTGAAAGGGGTATTTCATTAAAGGTTTTCAAAGGTGTTGCCATTAATGCTCTCTTCCCTTTATTCACTTTAGAGCCTCCTTCACCTGGATCCTCCTTCACTGGGACAATGTCGTAAGTATTTTCTCCAATATTGGCGTAGACTTTACACCCGGATGAAATTGAATCGATCTCCGTGGCTGTGTTGAGCGTGACTGTCTTTTTTGCGACTACAGCTGATTTGGAGCTGTTGGTTTGATTTGACTGGCCATCAGACACGTCTACGATCTTTATTTTGAAATCCCCTTGCTGTGACGAGGCAGAAACTTGCTTCCTTTGGACGCCTATTATTTCACTGCTTTCAGAGGACTGGGAGGCACTCGTGTGCTCAGGGGTGACGCTTGACCTGGCGGGCGTTGTGGGAACACTTCCTGAGAAATGTCTGGCAGGAGAGGATGAGCTTTTGGAGCTGTTGGTGGAGCTACTGGTGGAGCTACTGGCGGAGCTGCTGTTGGAGCTGCTGTTGGAGCTGCTGTCTGGACTGCACAGAGGGCTGCTGATGGGAATAACGGGTGATGGACAACTGATGCTGAGAGGCTTTGCAGCGATGATTTTAACGGGGGCTCTGGCTTTCTCTTTCAGTTTTGCAACAGCCTGATTTGATTCCTCATTTTGCTTTGATGCTGCTTTTCCTGTATCTGCTGCTTTTCCTAAATCTGCTGCTTCCAAATCAATAACCTCTGAGTTGGCTGTCTGATTGGCTACTCTGGTTTGAGCATCCGTTTGTGAGACAAACATAACATCTCCGTCCGAGTCCTCGTCGTTACCCACTGACTTGCTCGCCTGGTTGAATTCCTCTGAAGATATGGAGAAAGACTCTGAGATGACGGGCATCACCTCTGGAGGAGTGTCACTCTTGCTCCCCGTCTCCTTAGATAAACCAGGAAGACCCTTAACTTGCGATAAAGGGGATCCCAAGTTTGCAATGAACTTGACTCCCAGAATTTGTCCAGCACTAATGAGATCCTCCAGCATGTCGGAGCGGACACGGACAATCTTGGAGCTGTAAATGTAATTGAGAATCTGCTCAAAGATTTCCGCTTTGATGAAGTTTAACTCGATCACTTGTCCAGCGACACTGAAGAGCTGGTGGAAGTACGTACTGGAGGCAGACAGGATTGTTTTGTGAGCCCTGAACTTCTTGTCCTGTATGATAATGGTGACGTCACAAAATAATCCATGGTTTCGCTGCTCGTTCATCGATTTCAGCACAGTTGCTGAATACTGTGTGTCGGTCGCAGTTATCAGCTTCAGACTTCGCATGGCTGTGGAAAGGAAAGAAACAATTAGAATCTAATTTCTTAAGTCAATCAATCAATCAATGTTTATTTATATAGCCCAGTGGTTCTCAAACTTTTTCTGTCAGGCCCGCCCTTTGGAAGAAAAAAAAAGTCGGGCCCCCCCAACACAAATAGTCAGGCTCAGTGGCGGCGCCAGAGATTTATTTTGGGGGTGCTGTGGGGTAGCTTGACGTTTCATAGAGGGTGCTCAAACATTTAGGGTTTCCCCATTAATGTACCAGCGCTACAGTGGAATGTTCTACTGCAACACTCCCCATGCATATACATAATGTACGCAGGGGTCAAGTGCTATTTTTTATAGGTGGTGTGTGGACCTCACATAGGGGGGTCCGGGGGCATGCTCCCCCGGGAAGATTTTTAAATATTGAAGTTAAAAGCATCAATCTGGTGCACTTTGAGAGCAAAATGAAGAGATCTATGGATACATCTCTCAACACAGAACTGTAAACAGATTTACTATTTCTTTATGGATATTTTACAAATCACTCCCCTTTCAAACTTTATTCATTTTTTAATGTCATAGTATTTCATACCTGTTTTTAATTTATTCTCTTATTTTTTTATAATGATCATATAAACGTGTGCCTCGGAAATAATTGTTTACATTAATGGTTACCAAAATGTTTGAGACCCACTGAGATAACACTGAGAGTCCTTTAGTTCACTGAGTCTCTCAGTCTGACAGGAGAGGACTCTCCTCCACTTTGTTGTTGAAAAAACTCCTTATATCCGTTAGCGTAGCTCGCTAGCACCAGAAGCTAACAACAACGATCTCCGGTACCGGTGCTCTCTCTCTCTCTCTCTCTCTCTCTCTCACCCGCGCACGCACACAAAATGGCTCGTTCCACACACACACAGCCGAGCTTTAATGAAACACAGAGACCCAGACGTAATAGTACTGCATCATATTATTTTCGAATCAATAATTGTTCAAAATATGTTTTTGTTTTTTTTTATCTTTTTTTTTTTAATAACCATTTTTCCTCCTGGTCTCTCGCGCCCCCCCTATCATGCCTCTGCGCCCCCCACTTTGAGAACCACTGATATAGCCCAATATCACAAATGTTACATTTGTCTCAGTGGTCTTCACAGTATACAGAATATCAGTATGACAATACGACACCCTCTGTCCTTAGACCCTCACATCGTACAAGGAAAAACTTCCGGAGAAAACCCACAGTTTAAAGGGAAACATTCCTTTAAGTGCACATCAACAGTTACTTAATAACATTACGGTGAAGGAGAGAATACCATTTGACGCTTCTGCAAAAAATATAGGTGTGGCTCAAATTCAATGTTCGTCATATCCTGCTTTTCCAGTTCTACTTTTCCTTTCCAACTAACTGACACACGGGAAGTCAATCAGTAAATAATTACGGATAATTATTTTGTTTTTGCAATACTGAATGTTACAGTTTCCAAAGTATTAGCTTGCTTTAAGTTGTTGAATCGTTGTGTATCCACTGAGAAGTGTTTGAACAATAGATTTTGAGGTCACTATCAATTTGAGAGTAAAAAACTCTGGTAGACAAACTGTCACTTTAATCTAAAATATGTATATGTCTTTTCTGTGCTAAAGTGTCTTATTTTATTGTCTTTAGTGTCTAATTTATCTGTACAACAAGCTAATACCTAGTCTTCCAGCACTAACATAAATGGGTTGGACAACATTTTGGGAGAAAGTTGCTCAGCATAACACTTCTAAGCAGCATCACAAACTATGGGCTTCAAAATCACCATAAAGTCGTACCAAAATATTATTAACAAAACTTCATGAAGCCACGCAGGGTTGTGCTTTAACTTCACAATGTAAACTAGGGCTGTGCAATTAATCGTATTTTAATCGCGATTACGATTATGGCTTGCGATGATTATGAAAACATCATAATTGACAAAATACGATTATTTTGCTGGGTGCGCTTTCGCCCCTCCCTAAAAGCCCACTCGGCCACGTGGGAGTGACATGTGTTGTGAGTGTTCAGCGCAAGCGAAGATGTCAGAACAAGAGCAGCAACTAGTTAAAAAGAAGGGTCGCGGGGAGATTCCCAGTCGATCGCGAGATGTGTCTAAAAATAGAACAACAATATTCTGTTTTATCGTTAATGTCCTGTAACATAATGTTCCCGTGCCAGAATAATGCACTTGAACGCATCAAAGCTTTGTGATTGGCCGGCCTCACCCCATGTGTCCGGGCGTGGCTGGTGAGCAGTGCACTAGTTCGCTGACGTTGTCCGTGTCAACAGCATGGATGGTCAACAGGAGTGACAGTCCGCACACACACAAGACCGCAATTATGGCAGAAGCAAAAAAGCCCAAAATATATAATTTTCACTCCAAGTGGGAGGATCATTATTTTTGTATCTATTCTAATTCAAAGTCCATCTGTCTCATCTGCAATGCGAGCGTGGCTTTATCGAAGAAGGGTAATTTAGGAGCGGCATTTCAAAATAGTGCACAAACGCTACGAGACGGAATTCCCTCCTAATTCTGCCCTCCGCTCCAAAAGGGGAGGGGCCTGAGAGGACAGCTAAATGCACAGCAGTCCATTTTCACCAGGCCCAACAACAAGAGCAAGGCTGCTACCAGAGCATCTTATCGTGTCAGTCACGTTCTTGCGAAACACATGAAGTCTTTCAAAGACGGCGAAGTTGTGAAAGAAGCATTCCTGGAGGCTGCCGACGCGCTTTTTGGGGACAGTAAAAATAACAGAAGCATTTCAACAGGTTTTTGATATAATAAAAACTCAAGTTAGATACCGTTATTAATCAGCTGTAAGTTTTAGTTTGTTTGAACTTATTCATTATAATTATTGTACAAAAGGGTATAAGAATGCAAACTTAAATTGATTATAGTCTATTATCAATTCAGGTTAAGAAACTAGTGTTGCTTGCATCCTATTTTAAAGGCATTTATTTTTATATTCTACTAAAATGCAACAAAAAAAGAGTTTGATTCTATTAATGTTGTCTTTTTATTGCACTTTGGCAGCAGATTCCTGAGTAGCTTCAGATCTGAGTTGTCTTATTAGTAAGCCTCATTTATACTTTTGTAGCAACACTATTTTTATATAATGGCAAAGAAAGGGTTCAGTCTTTTCTTTTTTTCCTGTGTCATATGTGGCAGCACTGCCACAAGTTCCTCTTCAGAGAGGGTCTTCAGTACAGGTGGCAATATCGTCCCCTGTCTGCGCTCATCTCTGAAACCAGACCATGTCAACAGCCTGGTGTTTCTTGCAAAAAATCTTTAAGAGATGACATGAGCAGCCCTACCAGCATTTGCCATGGTGGCCAAAACATTTTTATTTGGTCTTAAATTGTAGTTCAACATTTATTTCCTGTTACTTCTGGACCATGACGGTGGGCCAGCCTTCAACATTTAACTGAGTGGAATATGGTGAATATGTTTTATCAAAATGTTGGCTATATGTTAAGGAGTTTTCAGTAGGTTGTGACAGTGCACTGCATCATATTTGATTTAATTAATTTTGGTCTAATTTATTTTTATTTATCATATTAATATATGTTTAGTATGGTTTTGGAAGTGCGCTCCAACATATTTGTTGACCTTGTTTATTGGTAAAATATGATTTGTTTTAAAGTTCAATAGATGGTCAATGAATAATCGTCAAAATAATCGTGATATCAATTATTGACCCAAATAATCGTGTTTATGATTTTTGCCATAATCGCACAGCCCTAATGTAAACCATTACACAATTTCATAAATTGAACAGCTCTTACTTTATTTCAGATATACTATACGTTTATTACATTTTACAAATATTTAAACATCTTTTCACAATATTCATTTCATATGTTTATTGTTATGTCATTACATTATTACTTTTATTTTTGAACATAATTTCAATTTCATTTTCTCTTACATTTATGTTATGCGATAATCCAAAATCATTGCAAGTGACAACCCAATAATACACTTTATTCTGATTGAAGCTGGCTGCTGTTATGGAACAATTACACAATGATTATATATAGAAAACATACTTTCAGTTCCCGAAAAGCTGTGTTTTAGTCTTTGATGCTTCAATTATTTGTTAGTGAACAATAACGTCACCTTCGCTTACGTCAAAGTTGTAGAAACTACATTAAATATAAGCCTCGCATGCCACTGCACGGCTTTATTAAACTTGAATGGGTATAATAGCTGGTTTGGTGTATCCATTATGTGTTTAAAGTAATATTGAAATGCATTAGATAGATGGCGAACAAAGGTAAAGCTGCTCCCTCATAATGAGAAGCGCGGCCTCCTGTTTAGCATCCTGTTAGCATGCTAGCTTCAAACACAACAACAATGAATGCGTGAAATCTTGCAACATTTAATAACTGCACATAAAAAGTCTTATGTTTACCTGCAACCCTGTTGTTTTCTGCCAAGATAAAGCAAGACCACTACCCCCGGCTGCAGTAATTTAGCTAGCTAATGACACAATGGCTAACAACAGACAGCTCTCCCTACAGCTGCAGCATCACTGACCGACAGCCGCAAGGGGGCGCCATCGCGTGGTTTTAACTACAAACACTGCATAATTTAGAATAAAATAACACTACACGATATTATGAAAATAAAAGATGTATTTAGTAATTGTAAAAAGAAGAATTAATTAGTGCCTGGACGTAGTTTCAGAAATAAATGTTTACTTTTCCCACACCGGGATCCTTTCCAGTTCCACCAAAAGTTAACAAATCATTTTTAGAATCATGAATGAGCAATCATTTCTAACACGACAGATTTAAAACTTAAATATATGCTCCTTTTGCATCTCAGACATCTTTTATTTTCCTGCACTATAATTCAAATATCTCGGGATGCTTTCCAGTATTGTTTGAGCAAAACACTCCGGTCTTAACATATGATAATATAAAATGTGTCCTTCAATTTGAAACAGAATTAATTATTATATATTTCATCCACTAATGTTGCTTCCTCAAAATGTCTCCAGTATTTGTTGGTTTCTTAATGACATGCAACTGTACAATAAATCAATTAAATGCAAAAGTCAAAAGCCCAACCCTTTTACTAATTTCTACACACCTTATTTCCTCGTTGACCACTTGTGTTTTGTTTTGTATAATGCCCTCACTTTGAATTCATGTTATGAACACTAATGTGATAATAGAACTGGCCGGGATCATTGTTAATATAACTACCGGTTCACCCCCTTCAGAATAAAAGCTTAGATCTCTACAAAATAGATTGAAATAATACAAGTAAAACAGTGTCTGTTAAAGATTAAAATACCTGGTTGAGGTTCCTTTCTGGGGTCAGGGCCTGCATAAACCCTCACGTTGCGTTTAAATTCTGCATGAAGCTTGTCCGACATGCTCTTCCTCTTTCTTCCCTTGTAATGATCATACTCCCAGGCGTGTTTGGCTAAGTAATGCCGCTTCATGGTAACGTCATTAAATAACACCCTCTGACTGCAGATGAGGCACGTTGCAGTCTCAGTCAGATCCGTGAAGAAGTACTCCATGGCCAGTGCCTCCTCAACTTTCTGTTTCACCGGAGGACACACGTTACTTTCCACGCTAGAAGAAGACATCTTGCTTAATGGAGGTGTGCTGTCAACACAGTGGCTACTTGAGAGTCGTTGTGTAACCTCCCAAACTGATGTATTGCGTGAGGTTGCTGATCGGTTGAAGGTGTATGGTCCACATTGTTTTGAACTTCCGGGGTTGTGCTGTTCTCCCCGCCGAAAATGCGCGCACCTCGCAGGAGCGCGCACAGCGTAACAAATAGAGTGGCTGTCACGTCACTACCCCATCGGATCTGATTGTTTTCTTTTTGGGCTTTGCCAAAAGCCACTGTGTTAAATGTCCTACTTGGGTTGCCGTCCGGTGTCGGTACCATATCTGTTCTTATTATACATCCATGATCTGCTCGGGGCATAGATATATATAAACACTAGATGACTCACCCGCGCTGCTGGCCAATGGAGACCGACGTTGCCACTTGGCCGCCATCTTGCTACAGGCAGTGCTCTCATTCATAACATTATGGTTTACTATTTAAATAACCATAGCTTGCTCAATTTTCAAACGGTTTGGTTTTTTATAAACATCAAAGATGTAGTTATGATACTGCATACTTATAATCATGGACTTTCATATGAAAATAACATCAGATAAAGCAATAGCTATACACACACACAAGGTATTTATATTAAATATTTGCCGGTGTATATATTTCCATTTATTTTATTATATTGTTAATATTTAAAATAAATTATAAAATTAAAATACATTTATATTTTATATATAAAAATCGGTCTCATGTTACCACTCTGTAAGCCAAGAGTTGTTAAATTAGCAATGCCTTAGCTTGAAGAACAGGGACACAACTAATGACAATAGCATATGTTGGTATATTATTTATATATTCACACCTTTATCAGAAGAACCAAACCAACATAAAATGTGCTCACAGACAGGCCAGTTCTGTCTAATTTATCACAATTATTTTTGACATGAGGTCTTCATATCATCCTAGTTTTGTATTTAGTTTCTAGATTTGTAAACAAATCCAGAACCTTTGAAATATGTTATTGAAAAAAGACCAAGAATAATATAAACTGTACCATGTGTCCTTTTGTGTCCATTTGTGGTTTGTCTTGTCTCACCCCGGCTGATATATCACAAAATCCACTGTTTAAATTGTTCCCTATATTGCCCCTATGCCCCTGTAAGGTGTCCTTGGGTGTTATGAAAGGCGGCCCCCCAACATAAATGTATTATTATTATTAAGAAGAACAACTTGGTGTGGTGTGGAGGGGATGTAGGAAGCAGGAGCAGGTGGGGAGAGATGGGGCTTCAAGGTTCAAGGTTATTTGTTTTAAATGTGTCTTGGAGATAAGGACCAGCTGCACACAATACAATACAGTATAACACAAAACCAATAAGACACACGGTGACACATGGCACACCAACAATCAATCATCGTCCAGCCTCAGCTTTGGTATTCTTTCACAACCATGTTATGGGTTTATTAGACTGAGCAAACATAAACATATATGGTGATCCCACGGGTTCTTGTTTGCAGACAGCGGCGATTGGAGCATCCGTAGGCTGCACAAAAGTCCGGCATAGTCAGGTACTTCTGTAAACACAAAGTCAGCAAATTCCTGTATCATAATGCAAGATGTTTTTAACAAGCCAAACCACTTGGAATAAATCATGTGTAACTTAAGTTATGTTGAAAAGAAAGAGCAGTTCTGCCTCTCCCACTGGTGTAAAGTTGCTGGGTGAACTTTGTAATACTAGGTCTCACTCACAGCCTCTTGTTATTAGCCAGCTAATAAATACAACCACATACACAAAGAAAAGCTGCAATTTCAACATGTCCAAGCATCCTGTATCATAGCCATGCTAATAATGTTTATAATAAACCAAACCGTTTGTAAATCAGTCAAGATTTCAGCGAGTTAAGAGTATTTTTGTGCAGATCACTCACCTTACAACAGCTACCATAACGCGAATCAGAGTAACTCTTGACTGTAGCAAGATGGCGGCCGGTCAGCTATGCTGGAAAATCTCCCATGAGCCATCTAGTGTTTATATATATCATATAGTAATTGTTGTATTCCAATAGTCCATTTAGCTTAGGAACCTTCCTAACGGAGTGAAATGACCCGGAAGTACGTTACTGGCAGCCATGATAAGTGCCGCGCAGGTCTGCGCCATGGATGTATGGTCTGCGCAGGTCTCGCTTGTCTCAATCAAGCCTAATCTTTCAGAAATAAGGTCCCATGGGGCGGAAGTAGATGGGCGTGACTTCGCCACTCTATTGATGCCACTTCCGCCGGCTTCTTGAGTCCAATACAACTTTGATTTATAACCACTTCAGATCAGAGAGATGTTTGACTAGAACAGGGGTAGCCAACACGGTGCCCGCGGGCACTCAGTCGCCCGCAGGGGCAACGTGAGTCGCCCGCCGGGCATGTTCTAAAAATAGCTCGCCAAGCAAATCCAAAATGTATAAAATACACAAAACAAAAAAGGAAATGTAATTAAAAGAATCTACCCTATGAATAAACGACACATAAATCATAGCGAACTCTATCTACTTACTACAACTCTATATCTAACGGCCCTCCTCCCCCACCCCCACAATGAATATCGACCAATCACGTTCTTGCTTGATGTGCATGCCCCCGGACCCCCCCTAGAGGATGTGAGGACCCCCCTAGAGGATGTGAGGCCCCCCTAGAGGATGTGAGGCCCACCCCCCAATAAAGCAGGTTAAAATAATTAAATTGCATACATTTTCTTTTAGTAAACACTGAAAACGGGTCCCACAGACCCAAACAGCACACAAAGGTTAAAGGTAAGCATATAATAATGTTAAAATGTGATAAATATATACACTGCAAAAAACAAAAAAAAGAGGAGTAAAAGTAGCCCCCGACTTGTTTTATTTTTTGAAAGTAGCCCTCATCCTAAAAAAGGTTGGTGACCCCTGGACTAGAAGAACCCCAAAACAAGATATTGTCCATTCTTAACCGTATCAACACTGTTTACCCTCCTGTGGAAATGTGTGAGCAAGTGTATGTGAAGTATATCCTTTTACCATTTATTTTATTATATATTTTAACTTGTAATTAGATTCCATATTTGAATATTAAATTAAAACATTCGAGGGAGACGAATGCTTAATGGCGGCTTATTTATTTAAAAAAAAAAATTCAAACACTAAATGCAAATAAAATGTTAACTGACATTCAAAGCTAATAATCTTGTGCAATTTGCATGTTGTTCTATAAGACAACTATTAGAGATGTTTTACTGTGTTAAAAGAAAATGGAAAAAACACTCATGTCACTACCTTCTTTTATTTGGTTTCATGCTTTATTCAGCACAAAGGAGGTTCTTCATTTACCCCCCAGAGGTGGGAAAAGTACTCTGATCTTAGTTGAGTAAAAGTAGAAGTACCAGAGTGTAGGAAGGAATACCCTGTTACAAGTAAAAGTCCTGCATTCAAACATTTGTACAATGTACAAAAGTATTACATATACTTAAAGTACCAAAGATAAAAGTATCATAATACAGATTGGCCCATTTCAGAATAATACATATCATATGTTTTGATTATTGATCACTGAAGTGTTATCAAAGCTGGTAAAGGTGCAGCTGGTTTTAATGACTTTGTATACTGCAGGGTAGCTTGTGAATTTACTCCAGGTGCAACTAAAGTCTTATCTAAGTGTTGTTTATATTTCACATAATTCATCCAAATCTGTAAAGTAAGTTAGTAACTAAAGGTATTGTGGAGTAAAAGTGCACAATTTACCTCTGAATTATAGTGGAGTAGAAGTACAAAGTAAAATAAAATGGACATACTCAATTAAAGTACAAGTATCTTGAGTAAATGTGCATTGACTTGACACCACTGTTACCCACTGCCTCGCTCCTTGCCAGGGGGGAAACCACAAAGGAAGACAACGTTTAATGCAAAGGGTTTTTATATATAGTAAAACATTTTGGGGAAAAAGTTTCCCTTTAATAAAAATGTCACAATTAATATGTCATAATAACTACAAACTCTAATATGAACCCACCACAGACTGCAGTCAGCCAGTAGAAAGTACAAGCGGAACTATGTGCACTTCCGGTTTGGTAAGACCGGTGTGTGTTTTCGACGGACTCATGATGACTTCCTATTATTGGACGCTTTGCTAACCAAAACACGAACGCGTGTTCATTTCTCTCTCAATTTTCCTTTTAAAAAGTAAATCTTGAACTCTAGTTTGTAGCTTAGTTTTGTTGAGAGTCCAGATTGGTGAGTAGCGATGCCCAAGTCGGACCGGTCGAGCTCTGACGGCGGCGCGGAGCCTCGCAGCCCCCGGGCCCGCAGACCGCGGACTCGGTCCCGGAGCCGACACCGCAGCGGCAGCCGCCAGAGGAGCCTGTCTCCGTACAGCTTCGGGCCCAAACTTCCGAAGCCGAGGAACCGGGAGAAGGAACACGAAGAGCGGGACCGCCGGTTCAAAGAGGCTAGAAACATCCGGAGGATTCGCATAGGGAGCCGGAGCAGGTCCCGGTCCAGAGAGAGACACAACAACAACAACAACCCGATCACCAACAACAACAGCCACGGCGGGCACTGGTCCGAGCAGAGGGAAGCACCGGGGAAACACGGCGGCTTCAAAGAGGATTATTACTACGAGGAGCAGAGGGACGACGCGCAGAGACAGAGACAAGACGCCTTTATCGCCAGGTAACACTTACCGATCAGATCCATCAGAATTCCTTTATTATTCCAACACCGTTACAATAATGATAGAGACAAAAAATAAAAACCGTATTTAGTAAAGTGGCATGCACACACGTATTTATTATATAAAATCAAATCATAGTTGAAAAGTAATGAAGTAGCTGCTTTATTAAATACTATAATTAATAGTAGGGGACCCTCAAAATATAGTCCATAGTATGTGTCAAGCATATAAATGATGGAGCCAACAATTCACGTGGCTCTTTTTAAACGGACCTAGCTTGGTATTACAAATAATTATTAACAGGGTTAATGCACATAGTGTAGTCCCTGGGTAGATGTTGTAAGTCACCCTAAAAACAAATGTCCTTAAAACGAACAAGTAAATACAATCAGTAAAAACATACAACAAGGAGGCTTACAGCACTGGAAATGCTAATACAAATCAATAAAACAAAACATATTACTTAGCAAGAAGATAGCAACAGGTTTAAGCAAAGGCAGTCTGGACACACA